GCCATCTGCTGTGATTGGTTGGGGTGAGAGTTGAGGAACGACTGGGACTGGATAAAAATGTAAACATTTAGAGCCTCCATGACTTAACTGAGACAATCAAGCAGCAGACCCACAGAGACGACAAAGCTGCCAGTCGTCAGCGTATAGATGAAATGTTGTGTTTTCAGAAGATCGCAGTAGCAGGAGATACAATGAAAACGGGAGTGGTCCAATAATAGATCCCTGTGGTACACCCCACGGCAGAGCTGCCACAGAGGAGGAAGCTAACACAACTCAACACAAACGTTCCTGTTGGAAGAAATCCTCACACGACGCTGTAGACAGTTACACAGATGTATACACTTACTGTCTTATTACCTCAGCATAGGACAGGAGCTACGCATGTGTGTGTGTGTGTGTGTGTGTGTGTGTGTGTACACACCTCCAAGGTTGTCCGCCCGGCTGCAATAAGCAGAAAATGAATGAGAGTAAATGTTTGAATATGAACATAGTGAAACATTAGATCAGCGTTATCGTGTGACGTTAGCGTGTGACGTTAGCGCGTGACGTTAGCGTGTGACGTTAGCGTGTGACGTTAGCGCGTGACGTTAGCGTGTGACGTTAGCGTGTGGCGTTAGCGCGTGACGTTAGCGTGTGATGTTAGCGCGTGACGTTAGCGCGTGACGTTAGCGTGTGACGTTAGCGTGTGACGTTAGCGTGTGGAGCTGCTCGGGGTCTAACTCTTCATCCGTGTTTTTCTGATTTGTCATGTGTACAAAGTGTTTTGTAAACTCACCCTGTCCCGCGTGTTGTTCGGTCCTGTGACGATAAAACAAACGTCATTCACAGTTTGATTCCAAACATAAAGTTCAGTCGTGTTGTTTGTTTTTCTTTATGTTTCGGTGGGACAGACCACCGTGGGAGGGATTTCCTCCAGCCCTGTCGGCCTGCACAGGTGAGGTCATTTACCTCTGATGGGGGACGGGTTGGATCCTGGACCTCTGCCTGGTTTGTTGTTACGAAAGACCTGCGGCGGCTCAGGAGGCACTGAACACAAACACACGAAGAGCAGCTTTAACAAGGAGCCCCGAGGAGTCACATGACCTGAGAAGATGTCATGTGATCAGCGTGTTTGCAGGAAGTTACTCACGCTTTCCAGGAGGTCGTGGACCACAGTGAGGGGAGGGGTCTCTGCGAGCGTCCATGGGCTGCTTTGATAACACACACACGCAAACACACACAGACACACTTAGCAAATACAAACTATTCTAAAGTATGTGTGGCGCCCTCTGTGGAGACACTCGGTACTACGATAAGCTTGACTCACCATCCGAGATGGTGGCGTAGAGACGGGGGGGCGGGGAGACACAGCGGGGGGCTGACCTCGGGACACGTGGTTGTCTCTACACACACACACACACACACACACACACACACACACGTTTATACAGCGTGTTTGTTTGGTCGTTATTTTCATCTCTGTTACAAACACTGAAACAAACTCGACGACTGCGTCTGGAGGCAGAAATGACCCAAATGATGATTCGATGGTAATATTTTCTGGCGTGTGTGAACTCGTGAGGGTACCAATGTAATCCCCGTCCCCGATGGGCCGGGGGGGGCACAGCTTGTGGTCCTCTGCGGGTTCGGAAGGAGGCGGCTCGTAATCGTTACCCGCGTCCTGGTCATCGTTTGGGGACTCGTAGTCTCCCCCGCTGCCGTCATCGTCGCTGTACGGACTCTCGTAGTCATCGTCAAATTCATCGTCCTGACCGAGGAAACGCAGAGAGAAGCTTGTGTTGGGTGGACGTCTAACACATGTATATCCTTTAAAATGTAAATGTGTTTTATGGTGTTTGCGACATCATGAATTTTGTTTTTATTCAGTAAATAAATCGATAAACTCACAAACTCGTCTTCGCCCCATCCCTGAGGCTCAGAGTTGATTTCTGCAGAGGAGAAAGCAGCAGGTTAACATCTGTGTTTCCAGATGTGACGAAGAAATAATCACAAAGACTCATATCACTGATGACACGATGAGCTTTCAGACTTCGTAATAATACTGCAATTAGGTAAATATCTATTACAGATCCTTACTCATCATCGCGAAACTATGTGGTAATGCTAACCTGTTTTTATTGTTGTTTCTATTTCCTGTGAAATTTTATTCCAGCTTTGTCAAACTAAAATATTTACGCTTCATCACAAACACTTCCTGCTTCTGTTCGATTGGAAAGTCCCCGTAAAACGGAAGCACACCCAACGTTATGTTTAAGTTTCACATATCAGGAACTCTGATCTGGTGTGACGGAGGTGAACGCAGAACGCACATTACAAAGGATTTTATTCTGAAACGACTAATACATGTGACGATTATTCAAACCATCCATGGCTCTGTGTAGAAACATTAAACAATAAATTCTTACCTGGTTCTTGATATTTGGACGTCCTGTGAGAAAAAAAGGTGTGAGAAAGTCAGAGCTGAGTCAAACCTCAGCGCTGCTCAGGTGATGCTTTTAAAAGATGTAAAATAACCACAAAGACAAAAAACAGTGTGCAGGAAACACGAACAAAGCTCTTTTATGAATCAACTGTAAAAGTTTTAGCACCTTCTTCTGATGCTAATTTAAGTTTTATCAAGCAAACATCCAGAAAAACTTTCTTTAAGCAACAACAGAACTTTCCCTTTTAGACTTTACTTAGAGATAAACTCTTATATAAAGAAACGTGAGTCTGTATGTTGTTATTCGTATAAATAAGCTGGCCGTGACAGAGCTCCCAGTACAGTGTGTGCCTCTAAGACAAACGACAGCTAGCATGAAATGTTGGCTCGCACCATTCAGCTAGCAAACAATTTCACACAAACCACAACAGCAACCAGCGAGCTAACGTTAGCGTCAGCTCAGAGTCCGTTTCATGTACTCAACAAAGTCTTGATAAATCTTTGAAATCATTAACAACGAATCAGT